AACCGCTGCTGCTATTGCCGCTGTGGCCATTGCTGTTCTTGATTGCCGTAATCCTCTCTTACTTGTTGCCGATCTGGCTTTATGCTGCTCTGGATGCAGTCTGGCTGCTGCTGTTGGGCAAATCCTTTGTCAGGGCTCGTTACTATACCTCCCTGATGCCGTTTATGCGGCCGACGGCGGTTCTGCTGCCACTGCTGCTGTTGTTGACACTGCCGTCTGGCAATACGTGTTCTGGGAAGATGCGAGTCCACTACGACCCCCAGGCTGCGAATCCTGATAAGGGCAATCGCGAAGTCCAGCTTTCCCTGCTCACAAGCTGTATTCTGATGCCTCGTTGTCAGCACTACCTTGGCCGTGGGGAACTGCGTGTAAATGTCCAGGAAAAGCTCCGTGAAGGGAGTGTCGCTCACCTGCCGGCTCGCCGTGGCACGGAACTAAGCCGCTGAGGCATTATCGTTCCTGCCTGAGGCACGACTAACGTCTGGAGTGATCATTTCGGTTCAGGCCAAATCGGGCCAAGAGACATATTCGACGTTTTCAGGAAGTGTGCTGAAGTCGAAGGTCTCGATGGCACTACGACCTACACGGCCGGGAGAGAAGCACAGAAGTCTACCAGGATCAGAGTGATGGAATCCAGTCAAGGACAAGCGCGGCTGCGCATGCTGCGGAATTCAGCCTTCAAGCTTGAAACTATTGCAAAGTTTTCGCAAGACAACCAGTGCCCAATATGCTGAGGATTGCATGTCCGCGTGCATAGTTCCGGTCTTGCAAGTCAAGACACACGCCGTCGTATTTTGCTTCAGCTGCTCGACAATCGGGACGACGTAGTCCGGCAGCTCGTGCTCTTTGGCGTGCTCGTTGGCCGAAGCTCGCGCGTCCTTGAAATGGTATCCTGCGCACAGCCCGGAAGAAGCTTCAGGGTGTGAAGCCAGGGCCCAAAGAGTGGTATAAAAGAAAATATCGCATGCCTTGCATGTTCATGCACTGCTGTGCCATGTCCTTTCAGTCCGAGCTCTTCCAAAGCGACCACCACACCTTGGCTCAGAGCCAACCTTCAGGCTCTGCGTTCTTGACAAGCACTCGAGCTGGCTTTGCTTCACAACTTAGCATGCAGAACCTTTGTTTTTTTGCCACCCACACTCGGACAAAGCCTGGCAAACCTTTGTTTTAAGGAGCTGGCTTGTAGCTCGCAGTTCCTGGAGCCTTCTTCAGCTAAGGGGCTGTGTGTGCCCGTCGTGCCCATCCCGGCACCAATCACCATGTTTCGACCTTAGCTGGCGAGACCTGGCTCTGACTTGCCGGAGCATGTACTTCATGCCAGCCTGGCAAGCACCAGCTGCAACAACAACACAGCGACATCTAGACAGGATCCCACCTATGCTGCCATCACCATCATCCTAATCATCACCATTCTCGAAGTCCACGTGCTGGCGGCGCCAATAGTCATTTTGCAGTCGCAGGAAAGTAGCCCGGATGTGTGAACACACAGCCAGAAGTGGCCGCTTGCAAGCAGGAAACTGCTCGCCGGCATCGAGCTACGATATCTCCACGGCCTCACGCCGCAGGGATTCGGACCTGAAACCTTCGTGACACTTCTTGCCATTATTACATAACATTGCCGGGCTCTTACGATTTGTGCCTCTTGCATTTACGCTCAGGATACACCGACTTGCTTGCTGTTCCGCGGTTCCCACCAGGAGTTTCCGAAATTAGGGGACCCTAATATAGTACCCTAAATAGTAGGATCCTTATTATAAGGACCCCAAAGTAAGGTACCCCTAATTTCAAATGATCTTCTTTCCAATCCTGCTGGGGCCTGGCCCCTAAGATCACCTAACAGCCCTAGGCCGCCCCCGAGGAGTCTACATAATAGTAATAATATTAATTATAATAATGGTAATAATACAAATAGTAGTTATAATAATAGTAATAATATTAAATATAATGAGAATGCGCACCCACTGAGCCGGCGGTATGTATTGCAACCCAGAAATGTGTAGAAATGAGAGGAACGAGAAGGAGCGGCACACAGGACTCTAACGTGAAGACGATGTGCCCGCCATAGATGCGCACGAGACCATGCTGGGGACTTTGAGGTTGCCTTCGAACCTTCGAAGTTTGGAATTTTAAGTCCTGCTGAATCCACAGGCTTCGACAATAACCCGAGCTTTAATCATGGCCTTTCCAATATCCCATCGTGGAGCCTCGAATTTAACCTGTGTGCTTTCCTGCGCATGTGATCCGACCTCCTCCTGTCTGCGGAAACTGAAGACTCTGAACATGAGCATGATCTTTGCAGATGAAAGCATTCCACGACTCAATCTTTTCCGTACGCTACTGATCGGCTGCGGCTTGGGCTTGCAAGCAAGGGAGATGCTTGCGTGGTTTCAACCTTCGCCTGGAGGCAGATGCCTGAATGGCTCCCATCATATTATATATATACACACATATCATTCACACTATATACTATATACTATAAACTTAATATGGAACTGCCACCAGTCTGGTCTGGCATCCGCACACAGCTGGCCGAACCCTCGCCAGATGCCGCGAGAATTCTTCCGTTACCAGCGCATCTACTGCCGAACAAAGCTCTCGTGCACAGGAAGAAGCGACAGGAACTCGTTTGCCTCATCTCTCTTACTCTTCTTCTCCAGGACTAGAGCGACTCGTGATGTCCCCCGGCTGCTTGGGGCTGTGGAGAGACATGAAAACTAAGCTGAAGGACACTGCGGCTCCCCCGATCACGTCATCTGACATGTTAACTTATCACTGTCCAACGCTGCAATTTCTCCATTCTAGGCATAGATCAAGAAAGAGGCCTGTACTCGCTGGAAATGTTGGCAGATGCGAGCTTTGTAGAGTACCTCGGAGGCATGAGAGCGGTGCCAGTTGAACCACCTCTGTCTGACTCCATGTACAGCGCCGAGGGCGGTGCTCGTTTGCACATCGTTTGGCCTTTCGCACTGTTGTCTGGGACACCTGGAGGATGTTGAACCTGCCGATGAAGTGGACAATCACACAGAACAGCCACGACTGCTTGCTGGGCTCACAATCGTCAGCGGCCCACCCACGAACTATGCAACTGCTGTTTGCTCTGACTCATGCTTCGTGCTTCTTTGTCAACTATGCTCTATCTTGGGCTGGGACGATGCGAACGGCAAACCGCTGCCCGAAACCCACCCCAAGTATGCTGCTGTCTCTTGCCTCTCTTGATAAACTGGCAGTGAGCCCTACTGTTAATGCCCATGTGTGCAACTCTGTAAGGCTTGCCATGCACATCGGTAAGGGCACGGACTGCTGCATCACGCATGGTGTTCTCCGGAAGAGTTGCCGTGATGCTTTCGTAGTTGCTTCGATGTGAAGACAATCTATACCATCCATGCTGTGGCGTAGGCGATCATCAATTTAGGCTCGGATGAGACCGCGAACAACATGCCTAAGTCTCATTTTGCCTGGCTCATTAAGAGACATGTGCCTATCCGCACCTGCCGTAATGCAACCCTCCACGGGATTGAATGTGCAAGCCCCGCCAGGGTATATCATGCTATAGCAAGGTAACAGGGCCGCACAAGATGTGTTGGAGGGGATACACCTGTCAAACATGTCAACAACCTGCTGTTTAAAATCCGGCCGGCTATGGTACAGCGGCCTCCGGGTCAGAAGCGTGAGTTTTCGTGCTTCTCAAGTTTGGCACTGCAGGAAAGCGGTCGTGGCAATGAAGGTACGAACAGATTCAACTTGAGATCTTGTCGATCAGCAAAAGAAGTGGTAGACCATGTAGCCGGGATGATTCTGCGCGCGATAACCTCCCGCCCCTCGTGACACTTACACACTGCGTGGGCATAAATGCAGTCCTGGGGTTGCTCTCGTGCTGAAGAAGTGCTTGGTCCTCAGCGTCACAAGCCTCACAGGACACTTTCCCATCAAGCGACTTGAGAGGCCACAGGATGTTCTCCCTCGCACCGTCTAGCAAAGCGGAAGCCACAACAAAGGACGCCTGGCCGTCTGCACCGCAGGATGCAGCCAAACACAGTCTCATGGTGCCTGAGTCAGTTTTGCAAACTGGATGTGGCCATCGACAGGCCCTATTCGCACCGGGGTAACTCGGAAAGGTCCTGGAATCAATACTTCAGACTAACTCTCAGCCTAAAGTGGCAACATAGGCTGCCGGAAGCACTTCATATCACAAGATCCACCCGCCAAATTGCCGAGCTGCACAGCAGTAAAAGCACACGTGGGGGCGTCATCGCCATGCGAGGCCACGCGCAAGTTCGCGGACCGTCTGCAAGGATGGGGGTTGGGTTGAGCCTCAAGACGACAACCAGAAGTTAGTTGCGGTACAACCTGCTCGGTAGTGTTGTCATCTTACCTACAGTAGGCTGCGATGCAAGCAAGCACGGTAGAACCGTTTTTGCCTTCTTGCTCCATGCAAAGCATGGGATGTTAGACGAGGTTGTGTGTGAAACGCTGGACAAGACGCCCTCAGGGGACGCGTTCGTAGTCACCAGCGACCAATTCCGTGCTCGTCACAGGCCACTGCTGCGATCAGTTGGTTGGCATAGTACCAGCCATGCAAACATGGCAGGGCTGGAAAGCTGCCAGAATTGCTCATCATCTGTCACCCGGATCGGTCGGTGTTCTAGATCCTACTTGTCGTGGTCTTACATCGGTTTATCTTGTCGGCACTATGGAGTGAGAACACTGAGTGCCCGTGAGCTGTAGCATAGCTGGAATGTCTGGTCCTAAACGGAGAATGACTGTGAGATGCGCGGTCTGTGCTGCATGCGCGTCTGCGGTCTCCCAAATCTGTACATGCGGGAGACCGATTCATCAGCATGAGCCTCGGTGCCAGCGAAACACAATCAGGGTATCAAAACCAAGCACAGTAAGCACTAGAAGTCCACACTAGCCGTCTTGCTGCCGTCCACGGAGCCCAAGGAAAACTTCTTAAGCTCTTTGCTAGCAGGGCAGGGTCATAGCCCAAGAAGAGCAGCATGCGACAGGTCCTGCATGCCGCTCGAAAATGTGCAGCATCTAGTGGTAACCGGCTGACTTTTAACTCCCTTCGCTTTCTACATGTTTCTGCAAAGTAGACGTTACTTTAGGGAGGAAACTCAGATATCAGGCTCTAGCCTCGCATCACGGTATGTCCTACTCCTTGTGTACTGAACTTGGCTTTTGCTCGGTGCAGTCAGACTTAACGTGTCGGAAGCCTCGAGCCTGGAACGCAGTCTGTCCCGATGTGCCAACAAGCGCTTCTGGCCACAGCTGGCTGCAGGGCTGTCCTGTCTTGCACGAACCTGTCGCACCAGGTTGTCCCACTCTTCAACCAGAGATCCGGCTTTGTAGAACGCACGCAGGCCTGGTGCAAGGCACGGGTGCGCATGAAGCTTAGCAACGACAACCTTGAGGCTTACTGGTGCAAATCTTCATGAAGCTGTGCAGTGCATACATCTGAGTGATCGTAGCTGAATGCAGGTGTCATCAGGTGTCTTCGGAGGCGAAACAAGTCGGAGACTGTAGTCAAGAGCGAGCAAAAAACACGGACGTAGGTCTACGAGTTCAATGCACTGAAGTTTGATCATTGTCATGCCTGTCTGAAACAGTGAGTTCACAGTCTCGATGACAAGTGGTTCACGGGTTCACGTCCCATGCACGGTCAAGGCTTAGCATTCTTGCTCTCGCCGGCTATGGCCCTGTGCCACAGGCCCCACAAAGGGTGATTAGAAACACACGTGATGGTGCTGCATCAGAGAAGCATGCCAGGGGGGTCTGCGTCTGTACACAAACCTAAGCGCTTGAGTCTTTACACAATCATCGGAAGCAAGCTATGCCTCTGCAAAAACGATACGAGGAGCCCTAACATGCAACATCTGGCTTTCGATAGTAAGTGAGCACAAGGCACAAAAAGATGCGACCCTGTCTTCTATCCACTTGTGTGCATGCAACTTTTCAATCCTCACCTTGTACATGTCCTTCCTGCCTGCCGTCCCAAGCTAAAGCCACTGTCGGGGAGGGCAGGCAGAATAAGGGCAAACAGGCTTTCGCCGGGTGCCATCGGACCCCAACTGATCACAAACACCCCGCACCGCAAAAATAAGACGATGCCCCCTCTCACGATGCAGCGTCAACAACCAAACTAGAAGACAATTGGCCCGAAAGCATCATCAGCGAAGAGTGTTGCGCTACGTCATAGAATCCAGTGTATAGGGTCATAGAGTCACCGAGTCAAAAGCACGGAGTCACAGAGTCGGAGTGTCACATACAGTCAAGAGTCGTACAAGTCATAGTTCATAGAGTCATCGAGAAATAGAGTCGAGTACATGTCAAGCACAAGTCATAGTTCAAAGAGTCATAGAGTCATATAGAGTCATAGAGTCACAGTGAGACAGAATCATAGAGTCATAGTGTTATAGAGTCATAGCGTCAGAGTGAGAAAGAGTCATAGAGTCATGGAGTCATCTATGTACCACGCACTTGACTTGATGTAGTTCACTCTATGAACACTAATGTTCAGGTTTAGCGGGTTTAGAGTATAGTCCAACATGACGCAGAAGTCTTCCTTTCCTAGCTCCGGAACCTCACTATATAGACATCCCTGATTACTGTGGTTTCAACGTGACTCTATGACTCTATGCATGGTCACTTTATGTCGCAGCAGTAGTAGTAGTAGTAGTAGTGTAGTAGTGTAGTAGTTGTGGTACTAGTAGTAGTAGTAGTAGTAGTAGCAGTAGTAGTAGTAGTAGTAGTAGTAGTAGTACTACTAGTAGTAGTAGTAGTAGTAGTAGTAGTAGTAGTAGTAGTAGTAGTAGTAGTAGTAGTAGTAGTAGTAGTAGTAGTAGTAGTAGTAGTATTCTTTTGTAGTAGTGGTAGTAGTAGCAGTAGTAGTAGTATAATAGTTGTAGTAGTGGTAGTGGTAGTAGTAGTACTAGTACTAGTTCGAACACTCGACAACGCCAATCTCTGTGAAGGGTTGCAAGTTTCACCTCAATGCACATCAAAAGTAATAACTTTACCTCGCGTTCGAACACTCGACAACGCCAATCTGTGTGAAGGGTTGCAAAATTCATCTCAATGCACATCAAAAATTGCAACTTTACCTCGCGTTCGAACACTCGACCACGCCAATCCCTGTGAAGGGTTGCAAAATTCATCTTCAATGCACATCAAAAATGCAACTTTGCCTCGCGTTCGAACACTCGACCACGCCAATCCCTGTGAAGGGTTGCAAAATTCATCTCAATGCACATAAAAAATTGCAACTTTACCTCGCGTTCGAACACTCGACCACGCCAATCCCTGTGAAGGGTTGCAAAATTCATTTCAATGCACATCAAAAAATGCAACTTTACCTACCGTTCGTGCATTCGACCATGCCAATCCCTGTGAAGGGTTGCAAAATGCCAATCCCTGTGAAGGGTTGCAAAATGCAGTTGAGCTGCGCCCAAACCCTGTGAAGGGTTGCACGGCGCCCGCAAAATGTGTAACTTTACCTCGCGTTTGAACACACGAGGAGGCGAATCCCTGTGAAGGGTTGCGCGGCGCGCCTAAAATGTGTAACTTTACCTAGCGTTTGGGCGCTCGAGAGTTCCAATCCCTGTGAAGGGTTGCGCGGCGCGCCTAAAATGTGTAACTTTACCTAGCGTTTGGGCGCTCGAGAGTTCCAATCCCTGGGTTGCGCCGGGCGCCTAAAATGTGTAACTTTACCTAGCGTTTGGGCGCTCGAGGAGGCGAATCCCTGGGAAGGGTGCGAAGCGCACATAAAAATGTGTAACTTTACCTAGCGTTTGGGCGCCCGAGGAAGCGAATCCCTGTGAAGGGTTGCGCCGGGCGCCTAAAATGTGTAACTTTACCTAGCGTTTGGGCGCTCGAGGAGGCGAATCCCTGGGAAGGGTTGCGCGGGAACCCTAAAATGTGTAACTTTACCTAGCGTTTGGGCGCCCGAGGAGGCGAATCCCTGTGAAGGGTTGCATTCCCGATGGACGACGACGGTGCCACCCCTGGCTTTAGAAGAGAGAATTAGATACCGAGATGTAGAGAGTAAGTCATAGAGGCATAGAGAGTCAGTCATAGAGGTCAAGTAAGTAAGTAAGTAAGTAGAGTGAAGTAAGTAAGTAAGTATAGAGATAGCATAACATAGAGTCAAGTATCAAGTGTAGAGAGTCAGTCATAGAGGTCAAGTAAGTAAGTAGAGTGAAGTAAGTAAGTCGTAAGCAAGTAAGTAAGTATAGAGATAGCATAACATAGAGTCAAGTATCAAGTGTAGAGTCAAGTATCAAGTGTAGAGTCAAGTAAGGTATAGAGTCAAGTAAGTTGATTCTATGTCTGTCATCTATGTAGTATCAAGTGTAGAGTCAAGTAAGGTATAGAGTCAAGTAAGTTGGTTCTATGTCTGTCATCTATGTACTCATCTACCCGGCTCCGCACGGAAGAACCCTTCGCGACGCTTTCGGGAACAAGCCTCGCATCAGGGGGACAACTGTCTCCGGGGTCAAGCACTGCGTGGCAGCAACCGCAGCATCCTGCCGGCAATCATTCTCGCTGTCGGATGAAGCGCCAACGGCGGCGACAGCAACATGTACTGAACGATGACTACCGGGATTCAGAATCCCCTCACGTCCTCTGATAAGGAAGTCAGCTCCAAGGCATGAGCTTGTTCCACAAGGGATACCACGTCCTGGCCCCATCTCGCATGCTTGAAGTTTCGCCGAGAATTTTCACTACACTGCAGCCTGAACTTTCAGGGCGCGGATGTCCGGGAACAGCCCGTAGCAGTGCTTCCTGAAGCTCAGTCAAGTAACACAGGCGGCTTCTACTTGCTGTGAACAGTTGTGGCTACTCTACCTGTTACTCTGTTTTGCCGTGCTCTTGCAAACAACTGGCCCAGGCTCTGTGCGTGCGAGTGCCAGCTGATGGCACGTTCAAGACTCACACGCAGGTGCCAAGGAATGGCTTCTGAACTTTACTTCGCTCATCGTCTGCCTAGCGTGGGCACGCAGTTCAGCTGAGGTGCAGCAAAGCCCGCACCACCTCACCACTGCAAGGAAGCGTAACTTCACCTTCCTGCGCCAAGGGAGCAGCTTGAAGACTGGGCAGAAAGCTCTCAGGTTGCGTCCGAAGGTTTGGATGTGGTGAGGGGGGCTTCTTGCTCTGGTGTACGGTAGGAATCGGAGGGAGAGAGCGCCTTCAATCGATTTCAATCGTGTCGGGAATGATTCCCCATCAGCATCCAGTTCATTCCAGTTTCTTTCCGGGTACTTGCACATCATGCAGATCGGAGAGGTTCCCATTAAGCCCAGGCTGCTCCGCAAGTGCAATACTCAGGCCAGCAGGCCTTGGTCGCAGACCGCAGCATTCGGCTCAAGACGGGTGACGCGTTTGCAAGGATGGCCTGCCCATGTTGAAACCCTGTCCCGGCTCAGTGCTGCAGTCGTCCTAGCATAAGCGCCGTTGCACCTTGTGTGCTTTTTGCTCCAAGCCATCCTCCGAGCGCAGCACGCAGTCCGTGAAGTCCTGGCGACAGATCTGCGCAGTGCTACGAAAACTGCCACGCCTGAGTTATCTTCAAGCTTCTCTGTGAGCTTGATGCCAGCCCTGGCCTCATTCGGATCCGGCAAAGCCAAGTACTGCCCTGAAATCTGCAAGAAGCGTCCCGAATCCCTTTCACTCCTCTCCCGCCCCTGCCCTGTCCGTGTCGTTCCACAACTTCCTTCCCAGAAACACGCCGTCATCTCGACCGCGTTTCAACCTCAATACTTGCGACGCAAGGAAAGAGAACCGGGATGCTCGGAGTCAACCATGGCCTCCTGGTAAGCACGCGAAGGCTCTGGATACGCACCTTGGAGCAAAGCGGCTGCACCCGAGAATTTGCAGCGCAGTTTGCAGGCTTAGCTCGTGCCGAGGTGCATTAGGACCACCTTGCGCTGCTGCTCGCTTCATGCAGAGACGAGCTCGGCAGATCCTGGTCCAGACTGCCACAACATGGTTACGACTTCGAGAATAGTACAGGCAGCACAGAATCATAAAATAGACCATTCCGATCGATGTTTGCTGGCGCTCCTGTTCGGCAACGGCTTTGGCGGAACAGCCACCATCTCCCCAGGGAAAGCCAAAGACCAGAACCTTGGCATTCAGCAAGCAGCTTTGCCCCTTCTCTTGGGCTGCACCTTTTTGGGGAGCTCGGTACAGAAGCATGGAGCCACCCGCCGCAGAAAACAGAAACCATTCGGTCAACATGACGCTACACCAGTGGTCGAGAGGCTGCTCGGACTCGAAGATAGGTGCTTCGCCCAGCTGCTCACCTGACATTGAAGACTAGACAAACACAAAGGCGTAAAGACATGAATGTAAATACACATGCAAATCTAAATACAACTAGCAGTACAAAAGCGATCACAAAAAATGCATATGCATACATATGTATATATATATATATGTACATAGATATCTTCCGGCTAAAGATTTTCGACTGCTCGCAGATGCCTTAACTTGCTTCCCTCCTCACAGTTGCGGCTGTAGACCATAGTGAGCCAGCTCGGTATTCTGCTAATCGCAGGACGTTTGCCGTTTTTGTGCTGTGGGCATTTGTATGATAGCTTGCCTGCTCAGGCAGTGAAACAAAACATGATCAATGGGTTGTTGCGTTCTTGTGTACGTCCTACAACATCATGACGACACCGTCTCACTGCCTTGACAGGAAGGTATGCGATGCTGGAACTGGAACAAGCGTGACATGACTATGGCACTGTGCAACTGCGGTGGTTGCCGCTACTAGTCGGTAGCATGAAGCGTAGTACCTTCATTTCCAACATGAGAGACAACATCTTCATTGCTGCTCTGCTGCCCCTGTTCCACCATTGAAACTATCGCCCAAACCAGGGAAATACTCGTGCAGTATCGTCTTCTAACTGCAAGTTTCTCCTTCGTTGTGCCCTTTGGGTATTGGATGTACTGGCCGTCTATACTGCCTCCTCCACTTTTGCCATGCCAGTGTACTTAGCGCGTGAACCTGGGCCTCTTGCGAATTCGACCATTACGTTTCTATAGCTCTCCTGTCACTGCTTCCGAAAATTACCGACCGAGACCATCATGTCAGTAGGCAGCTGTAGCATGCCGCGTTGAGGATGATGCGAGTGATATTGAGCACGACATCCATCATTACACTGACTGTATCGCATAGCGTACCACAAAGTCTCGGCGTACTGACGACAACAAAACGGACGAGGCATACGCGCCAACGCAGGTCGACTGGAGGATAGAGATCCACTCCAGCGCAACTTGGCCTTCAGTGCCGATACCAAGAACCGAAGCACGGCGTCATGGCAGCGGGCAGGAAGAAAGTGTCAGAGACCGGTGTGACAGAGAGAGCCGGCCGAGACAAAGAGGAAGAAAGTACTACACCATCCGAAGGACCGAAAAGGACTGCGACTAGAAAGCTAGCATGGTTTCGCGAACCGAAGGCTGATTGGACGTACAGCCCCTGTTCATGTTATCACTTCTTGTAACTTCTAGAACTTCCCTCCGCCACTGGCCTTCTTGCGCCACGAAGAGCTGCACGTGCTCCGGGGTGTACCCGTCCTTACGAGTCGTGTGGCTGCACTCCTTGCTTGCTTCGTCTTTTTGTGCGCATATTGTCTCTCCTCTTTTGTGGCGATGTCTCTCGTTCTCTTGGTGTCTCGTCTGTCGGCCTTCTCTCTGCTCACCGGTGCATCCGAGCCCCAGCTGCCTCCAAGCAAAATCTTGCCACTCCACCGGAGTCAAGTGATATCTTTGCTCCAAGCTCAAGTACCATGATGGCATGCGGCAATCTACGGCATGCTCTCAGATTCAATAGCCCAGAACTTACCGAGGTCGCCAAGGCTCCGCTCGGCCATTCCGTGGGAGTTCCACCTGCACCGGAAGGAGAAAAGAACATGCATTAGACAGAGCTGCGTCTCGAAACATGCCGTGGTACGAAGAGAGGGTCCACGTGCCCCGAACTCCAGCAGCCCTAGCCCACACTGCCCATACCCGCACCTGGAGCTGAGCCAGGGCTCTACCCGCCGGCGCAATCACCTCAATCCACGGAGTGCTACCCAGCACCTGAGACCAAGGCTTTGGCTTCGTGGCTTACACGCGAGTGGAGGTTGCGAGTGTCAGGTAGTATCCACAACCATGGCATTGGCCCTTGTTTGCTGAAATCGAAGTGATGCCAAAAGCCCCATACCTTCGTCATCCGGCCTCGTCAGACTGCCAGAAGGGCAGCGGGGGCGGCCAGTTGCCTGCTCGACCTCCTCCTGGGAGTCATGATATTGCCGACCACCTACCACCTCAAAGCCTCTTTCATCACTCCCTGACGTGTCATCCCTGTGCAGCCAGTCCTTTCCGCCCGGGCCCGGGGGTGCTGTGGTGTGGCCGAAGAGCTTCCGGGTTGCCCGATGAGGCCTGCTCGTCTCTTGCTACAAGTATATAGTAGCTACGCGTATCTATACAGACGCATGAAATGGATATGTGCATATATATGTATTTACATATGTATAGCACAAGAAAGCATGACACCCCATAGGACACTGCAACGACATGCTACATAATGTAGTCCTGTATGGTCTAGCATAGTAGGATACTGTACTGCAGAGTATAGTACACTACACTATAATATACTATGGCTATACTATTATACTATATTGTATCGTGCCACACTGTACTATACATAACTGTATACATTTTTTGTCACTGTGCTCGACAAGTCAGACGAGGTTTGTGGGGATTCACACAGAACAAGACATGTTCACATTGGAACATATGTATACATACAGACTTTTCTCTTCCGACATGGCAGACTGTAGTAGAACATAGTACCAACTGCTTGCCGTTATTCAGTACAACAGAATGTGACCTAGATACACATAGAAAAAGCAGTTGTCATATTGTACGCAAAACCTTAACATGATTCAAGACGCTGTGCGAAATCAGAATGAAACACGATATAACGTATTCTAGTACAGCATCCTATAGCATGATGAGTTATGATAAAAACCCATTGCATGCAAAGAGCATGATGCAATGAAGTAGGGTAATGAAAAATGAGGAAAATTCATATAATGTAAGGTGAGAAAGAAACCATACAGTACGTAGATGAAACGTAGTGCATGACAACACTTGATATTCCAGCATGATGAAGCTCGATACATGCACTGTAACGACAGGTATCGACACCATTTCGATACAAAGACCATGATGATATGATAAAACATGATACAACATGGTGTAGTACAGCCAAGTCTCAAATATGCTGTATTATCATACAATAGAATTACAAGGTATGGTATGACATGATAAGATTCGTTGAAGTGCAGTAAGTTACAATGTAAAACAATAACATAGCATGTTGTACTACACTTTGCTTTATACTCCAATTTGTTGTAGTGTCCAGCATACCTTGTGCCGCATTCTGTTCTAGAGTAAGTTTTCCTGTTGCATCTTGATGTTTTACCGTTTGTTGTGTTGTCGTGCTCTATATACCAAGAGCAGTTGGCATTTCACATACCACGTTATGGTATACTTATATGAAATATTATACAATCCAATACAACCTAGCACCGTACCACTGCACTGAAGCTTGACCTTGACCTCTGCCAGCTGTCTCCTTTTGCGAGCTCCCGAAAGAAATTGCATGTTAAACAGCGCTACATGCTTGCGACTCGCTACTTCTTGGCCTGATGCTGCGTAGTACCGGTAATAACCTTGCTGCTATCGGCAGTCCCCGACCAAAGAAGCTCTAAGCATACGAACATACATAAGACGCAGTCCTGTAGCTACCGGGCTTGTGATTCGGCTTCCAATGGGTGAGCTGCGTAGGCGCCCTTCCCAAACACTTCTTTGAAAAGATCCCAAAAGTTCTGCCTTCAGCGTGACGTCTTCCGTGGAATCTTGCATGAATGCAGAGGCAGGCCATCCATGGAAAGCGCCAAGGCACTCAGGTTTGTGCAGCTGACGCAGTATCTCCCAAGTCAGAGCATGAGGCATAATCTGTGTGTGGGATCTTCGGTGCTTGTGATGGTGTTCAGTGTGCTTTCCATCTCATGTTTCAACAAGGCTGAAGATCGAGAGAGACCAACCACTTGTAGTTAGAGGCTGCTTTCAAGTTCCGATCAATACGTCAGTACGAGTGATTCAACATGAACATGCTTGAAGCAGCTGCGGCAATGGCTGCACTCCGCGCTCGAACTCATGATGTGCATCTGTGCGCTAACGCAGCCGTGGCCGCAGCGTGCCGCAGAAGCAGACTAAAAAAAATCGACGTACTTCCTTGGGGTTTCGACTACAGCTATGACCAGACGGCACACAGGATTGCTGTTGAACATGCGCTTGACAGCAACTTTTACTCTTCGGATGTCTCTGACTCTGATGTCTCCAGCGAGAACTGGTCTTCAGGCTTGCCGTCTTCTCGCAGGTCTGCCTGAGCTGTGCGCACTCGTGATTTTTCGGCTTTCGTCGGCTCCTTTTTACTGCATCAGGTCGTGCGGCAACGTGAGCAGATTCTTGCCTTCAAACGTGCGCAGAATTGCTGGTGATTCGATCCGCGTTGCACGCCCCCAATGGCTCTCGACAGCCAAGGCTTGAGCCAAGAAGCACATGGTCTGCAGTAGGGGTTCGTGCGGACGTGGGCCATACCTGAGCGGCATCTAGTCGCATCCGTCAAGCCGAAAATGCATTGGGTGCGGGTGGAACAGACTGTAGCTTTGTCGTGGAGCCTCTGCCAAATCTCGGCGAAGGACGTTGAAAGCATGTGACAAGCTTTCCCACGTCGTGCCGTCGCTGCTGGGTTGACACTCTCAAAATTGTGAGCAAAGCAAGGCGAAGCGCAACGCGTCAGCCATCATCAACGCGGTCCAGGCACTACACCCGGATGCCTGCCGACTCTGTGCAGCACCGAGGGTGGAGACATTTTTTTTAGATGTCCAGTGGTTGTTGCCATTGTTTTTGGGGTTCGTTTCAATTCCTCGCTTTGAGGACGCGGTGTCAGGGCCAGACTGCCTGGGGTCGCCGTGGTGCTGGCAGTAGCAGTATGCATCATCCATAGTGGTGATTCCGGTCCATCACATATCTTAAGCATGCTCCCTCATTTGGCGTTTCCAGTTCATAATGTATCTGAAGCACGCCCCCTCATTTGGCGAATCCGCGGCCTCGTCTGTCTGAAACCCGCCCTCTCACTTTTGGCGATTCCGGTTCATCCTATATCGTAAAAACACCCCTCCCTTGGCGTCACATTTCCGAAACACGCCCGGTCAGTTGGCGATTCCGGTTCATCATATCGTAAACACGTCCCCTCATTTGCCCCCTCATTGAGATTCCGGTCCATCATACATATCTTAAACACGCCCCTTCATGTGGCGACTCCGGTTCATCCTGTATCTTAAACACGCCCCTCCTTTCTCCCTTCTTTCTTTGGAGAGAAAGACCAGCTTGTGAGTGTTTACGGGCAGCAATCACTGTAATTTGTACTATTTCAGAGCTTTGGTTTTCGCTGATCCCTGCTTGATTTCTTGTTGATCGATCCCCCTTTGATCCTTTTGAAGAAGACCACGGTGACCAGGATGCCAAAAGACCAAGAAAAACAAGCCAAGAACAAGTAGGGTCCCCTGCATTAAGGGTTAGGCAGTTAAGTTAAGCTTTAGGCCTTATGCTTGGAATTCCTCCAACGCCCAGCGGCATACCATCCCGGACTGGTGTAGCCGAACTCCAGCTAAGACCGTCCTGACATGCTTGAAGCTGCTAGAGTGTGCATCTCAGGGAAGCAGCAATGTAGCTTGGAACCAAGACAAAGTGAGAACGTTGTCCACCTCCACAGAACATAGCACGAGAATGCGCAGCCGGGTCACAAGCATGTGATCACGCCGGCCAATGACATAAGGCCTTCAGGGGCTCAGCGACTACAGTGGCAGCAGCTCCAAAAATTACATGGTCGTGTCATTGACCATGGCGATGGGGTCGCATGGGGCTAGCGTCACTCAAAGTTGACAGTAATCAATCCAAAAAACGTTGCGATGGGAGGTTCGCATGCCATAACATGACGGAAGACCAATTCTGTAGCAGTCTGCTTGAAACAAAGAAGCTTGGACGGCGCATGACTTTGGTCAACCTTCGCCTACTTCTGATGTCCGCTGAACAAAATGAGCCCTGCACTGTTTTCATCAACGTCTAGCTCGAAAAGTAAACGTTTATCTTGCAGGTTCCTATGTCACTTTTGGCCTCTTCACGTTTCCAACTGCAAACCGGGGACACGGCCTCCTGGCCCATACCTCGACCACTTCGACAGTGCACTGCAGAGCACCTGCAGGTAGCTACATAGTATAGTAGGATATAGTAACTATATAGTACTGTGTCGTACTGTAGAGTGCATTATACTATTCTTTAGTATACCGGTAAATGCTTCAACCTCTTGAAGGTGGGAAACAGATTGTGGAGAGCAGGGCTGGAGAAGTTCAGCCTGCAGAGAGCGGTGGCGAGCGATTTAGTCCAAGGAACAGGGCCAAAGCCACCGACGAGACAAATGCCGATGTTGTAACCTCACATGCCGCAGCTCGACGGGAACGAAGCTCCAGAAGCATCTGAGAAGTCATGCATGTTGACGCTATGCCGCTATGTGCCTACGCATGATACCAGCGGCACATGTCCACTAAGACTGTTCGGCGGGTGGCTGACGCCAACTCCCAAGTTGCGGGTGCGGGTCGGGAACAACTCGGTCACGTACCTAGGTCCACCATCGGCTCGACGGCTTCGGCCCCATGCCGTGCTCGATGTTCTACCCGCACAGACAAGCGTTGACATGCTGAATGGCTTGGGAGGTATGTACTTGCAGGTGTGCGGTGCGTGGGTTTGCGCGCGTGCTTTTCTGTCATTGTGAGCTTAAATTATCTCCTGGCTCAGTCCCGCAGCGTGCGCTATCCTACTTGCTAAGGCGATCTAAATTTGGAATCACAAGGCTCAGAGCCGTCCAACGTTGGGCACTTCTGCAGGCCAGCAGCATGTTGAACGTCGAACCACCTAGCGCTCCAATAGTTCCGAAGCCTTGGGGCATGATAAGCGGAAGCTTGCAACTAAGGCTCTGTACAAGTCGCACAGCATTTAGTTTTGAAATGCATGACGAACGCTTGGACGCATTTATGGCCAAGCCATTTCTCATCAGCTGGCCCTGCCAACACGTACCAAAAGTGCTGGGAGATGCAGAACTTGCAGGGCGATGATGATAAGGATGCTTGCAAGGATACGCACATCATCTGCGAATTGTCTGCTGAAGCCTTTTCAATTGCCTTGTAACCTCCATACACAACGCGGCCAAGAGGCCAACAGCATAGGCTGCATATGCAACCTCGGCTGTTGGCTGTTCGCATACGGTGGCGAGGCGATCGAATTTAGAAGTAAGCAAAACCGACGACCTTAGAACGAAACAACATGGGCATCCGAAGACCCCGATCAAACCCGTCGTAGGCAGAAGGCCGCGGGGTTCGTTGGATCTGCCTCGCGAGGCAAGTGCCAGTCGCATGAAAACTTCAGAGGCGAACTATGATGACTCTGACGGCTGAGATGCCCGGCCTGCAACCACGCAAACAGCGGGAAAGCTGCAAACAGCTGCACTGCGGCAGAAAGGAAGGTAACTGAGCCGACGCCTTTGCTTTGAGATTCTGGTGCACGAAAGCCATTTGATGCCCTTGCCATGCAATGCTAAGGAAGCAGCCCCAAACGTCTGCCAGCCAGCCCACAGGCACTGCCAGCACTATCTGAATAACACGGGCTGTCAGGCCCGCCATCATGCGCTGATCTTTGGGAAGTCCTGCAGCAGGAGCTTCAATGCACTGTTGCATCAAGAGCTGCGCACCTTCACATCACAACACCGACTGCCCTGCTGCCGCATGTCCCTAACAAGCACGTCTGGTGTCCTTCTTTAGCCAAGAATGTGTTGGTCCACACCAGGCCGCTGTATGAAAAGACCTCGATTCAGCTTGCTGCCCCCCTTACAGTGTGGTACAACGCAGGGCTCCTTTTGTAAGGTTAGGTTAGGTGTGACAAGCGAGTGGTTGGTGTGACCGCGAAGTTAGCGGTTCCCTCCGCGGCGCGATGCGCACTTTCGCCTAAAAATAGCGTTCCTTTCCGCTGTCCCGCCGGGGACGCCCATCCAATTACAATTTCAATACTTTGGCGCTCACGGGCATCGAAATCGCTCTCCGGCCGCAGTCTCGCAGTCATTTTGCCCTGCAAAACGCTCAAAGTCACTTTCGTCCTAGCTCTTTGCCAAGTCGGGACTCCTGGGTGTGGTCTCGAAATCTCGCACGTGAGGCCAACAATTACGTCTCTTTTCGGGGATTGTCGACTCCAAATTGAATGTGAACATTGTAGAATTGGAGCCCAAGCCGGCTCCTTCAACACTGAACAGGTCGGGACTCCGCTGCACCGCCCCACCGAATCTTTCGCATGGAACTTCTGTGTTAAATCTGCAATCCAATCCGAGCTGCTGCAAAAGACACCATACCGCCGATGGCTATGACGATTGCATAGCCTAGCAGGTCTTCCAGCCACACCCGCGAACTTTACTCGCTGTCCGTCATGCACCAGTTGGAGAGGCATCGCTTGCTCAGACAGAATGCGCCAGTCGAATCACTAGGCCCTACGCATTGCTGAAGAATAAATTCCAGAATCATTCCAGCTGGCACCAGCGCAGGCTCGAATGTGCCCGGCTGCGGAGCAGCAGTAATGTTTCAAGTCCAAGCCCCAATTCACAGTCGCTCTCAGTCGCCCAAACACCACGAGACTCCGAGGCCTCTGTGCAGTACGTCTCTGATGGCGTAGCTGGCTGATGCGTGGCCTATTCCGACGGCAATCAACTCTCGATCCGTTCAAAGGTTCCGGCTTTCGGAATTCCGGGGGGGGGGGGGGGGACACGCTCCAGCAGGTGCAGCGGACCTTCCTCAATGGCGACTCGTCGGTCCTTCTCAAACTCCTCCGACTCGCGCAAGCAACGTCGTCCTTGAGCGATGCACGAACTCTCGCCTCCCGATCGCGAAGCTCTCTCAAGCATGAAAGCATTAACACGAAACTGCCTGCCGTGGCTTCGGAAGTCGGGAATTTAGCCCTGCATGTCCTGCTATGGTGAAAGCTCCTGGCACAATGGCGACAAGGAAGGGAATTCGCCAGCCCCATTGTCGCATGGCATCGGGGCCGAGCTGGTCCTCTCGTTCGCTCGACGCTTGTCCGGTGAGTGACTTCATCATGTCATGTCACATTTCTGGTGCAGACAGACTATCAGATAGACGGTGCTCATAGGTTTGTGTTTGAACTCGCTTCGAAGGCATGCCGCAAGCATGTCCTGTACCAGCCACACTGCGCCTTGCGCCAAAAGGAAGCCGATGTAGATTGACACGGAGATGAGCGACATGCTCCGGGCCAGGGTCTGCTTGGAACCCACCTCTGCAATTCGCATTTTATGCTGCATCTTCTTTACATCTTATTGTGTTACGCTGCCATGTATGCTATTATACTAGTTGCATTTCATTTAAGTATGCTGACCCTCCGTGGCATGGTTTCGAAAACCCCGCCTCGATGATGTACGTGGAGACAGTGCTGATCTCGCGGAGACCAGGGGCATGGAGGTTATGGGTTGGGCCCTACTCTAGTTTGTCAGATTGAACTTGCAAGTCTCAAACTGTCAGATGGTGTGTAACCAACTGGTTCCATTTGACTCTTGTCGGTTTTCGAACTGTCATGAACGCACAACACTGCGCCTCTCCGCCGGTGCACAACCCCTGCACGATCCGCAAGACAAAGAGCATGCAGGTTCCGAACTCGCCCCACGCCTGGCAGAATCACTTCAAGCTGTTCCGCGAGTCACCAAAATTCTCATAAAACGATTTCTGCGAAGCGGCATGTCAGGTGCCAGATAGCCGTGTCCGAATGGAATGAATTGAAGGGGTCTTGAAGCAGGGCCCTCCCCTGAACCAAGTTCACAGTGCGCACACAAGTCGGGCGCTTCGCCTGGCCACTGCTGAGACGGCTGGGCAACAGGCCCTGACCAACTGTGCCGACCTGCCCGACTCCACGAGCAAGAGCTAGACGTGGGAGCTACCAGTGCCGTCATGCTCAATTGGCAGTGTCTGCGTGCGCATGTGAGGATCACAACTTGGGCCCCAGCCACCATACCCACAATGGAGACCGTGAGAGATGTGCGGCGACCCCACATATCACCGATCTCGGCAGGCATCTCTGCTCCGCATGCTAAGCTACATCAATCGCATCTAGCTGGCTAGAGACCCTATACCACAGAATGTTCGTCAACCTGTAACCTATGTAAACAAGCATGGCGCCATTGAGCTGAGACCAAGGCAAGGCCCAGAACAAGGCCACCCAGTGGGCGTGCAACAAACGTCGCAGCATAGCCTCGGTGGAACCATAGACACTCTGGACGTGCTATAAGCAGCTTTCAGATGGCCGCGATACTACCAGCACATCAGAAATCAACGACCTGCCGAGTGACCAAGCCATGTGGCAACCTCGGAACCTTGGAAGAAGTTGTCCTCCAAGAAAAGCACCTGAGAACACTAGGTCGCAGCCAGGGAATTGGCTGTGGCACATGTGGGGTCATATATGGTTTACTGCAGCTTCAAACAAGTCTCTGGTGGCAGCCTTCAATGAGGCTGGAACCAGACAACACTCTTTGCGCCAGGGTGCCAAGTAACCATAAACAGCAAACTCGTACCATTCCAGTACATTGCCCAGAAACAGCGACCTCACAGGGAGCACCATCATAGTGTGCACAGATCTTATTGATGACTGCAACATGGCAACGCTCCAATTCGCAGCGAGCGTCCAGTATCGCCGAAGCAGGTAGGCGAAGTCACCGCGAAGTCCCATCGCACCCGAGACTTGGCTCGCCGGAGAGTGAAGTCAGGTCTTTGCCGACTCCTTTCTGCTAGTTTCTGGTACGTGAGCAGTCAGAGTTCGCACAGGGCGATGTCGGTTCGAGTGAGGTTTGCACGTGTGTGCGGTTCTGTCTTGGGCTGCAGATATGCGCTACGATGCTGGAGATGGCCAAGCCCCGTCTTTGGCAGGACTTGGGCCGCGGCGTGCAGCTCTCAAGAGTTGATCAGCCACCGTCTACAAGTGGATCTCCGAACATCTCCCAACATAGCAAACCGTTTGGTAAGGTGAACTGCGCAAGTCTCTCAGGATTGGCTGAAAGCAAAACTTCTCTTTCGCGTGCAGAGCCCATGCGGATCTGAAGCCTCTCTGTTCCATGGAGGTGAAGTATTGTCACGCTGGTGCGAAGCATTCGCAAGCTTCAACGGCTTCTATCTGTCAGCTTCATGTCGGCCATGAGTCTTGCTCACTGGCGTCGCCTTGTGCAGTAGAGACCAAACTGTACATTGGAAGCTGCACTGCGTAACCGAAGCTGCCGTAGCGGCTCTCACAGACAGGTCGAAGCAACAAGTGGACCAGGTTGTTACACGTATTGACTTTCAATTGTCTTCCGAGGTACACTTGGCTTCTGGAAACAATAGAAAATGACACTCCAAGGTTTCGATCTTCCTGTCTGCCACGGCTATCTAGTGATACACGGGCTAGCGTCTCACTAGACTTTGGATGGTGACACGGACCTCGGCTTCGGGAGCTCCCTCTTGCAGGTGTCAACAAGAAAATGCATTCTTACAAAACGCCAAGGCCACCGGGAGACAGTTTGGCCAGTGCTTCTTGCGGTTGCACTGCACTGCTGCACTGCCTCTCTTGCTGCGAGGAGAGCAGCCTGGCTGGCCTCGTCAGATTCAAAGCTGCAAGAGAGTTTGTGAACTTCGGAGCTCTAACTCTAAATGGCCTCCGAATCACGTGAACCGTGTGTTCCGTAATTCCGATTGCTTTCATGAACCCTGTTCCAAGTGCGTCGGGCCGACCTGGCCGACTGGGCAAATGACATAGGCATAGATCACATGGCCGCTTACCTGGGGATCTCCACAATTCTAAGACCTCTTGCCTGAAGCCCTCGAAGGGCGTCGTACGCTGCAGGGAGCATCATTTAGTGTGCCGACATGAACCGCCCGTTCTCCGTTAAATCATGTTTCATATGTCCAGTGTTCCTACATGTTCCCTTAGGAGCTGGGTCGCCTGGGCAACTGCCAGCACTGCCTGACCAACGGATTGGGCAGCGGCAGCCAATGCTAGGCCACACGGACGCAGTACGGTTCTGTAGGTGCCTTCTGCGACGGCAACGATGGCATTCCTGCAGTGATGGAAGGGATCTTACGCTTGACCCCCAAGTCTCAATCTCACCGGACAGCCCAACTGCAGAGATAGCAAGAAAGGAAAAGCCAATGTACAAATCCAGCCATGCTTCGCACAGGGGCGGATCACCGTGGCATATCCCGCCTGCGCGAAAAGGACAGCTGCAGCAGCCACTGCACTGGATGCGTACCATAGAGCTGTGCCAGTAGCCCCTATGGCATGGCCGACCGGTACCAAGACATAGGCATAGCCAAGTTGTGCAAGTTGACCAACTGCAGATACAGCCATTCCCGCTCCATGCCAGATAGCTCCCGCAACAGCGCGCCCGGCCAAGGCAGCAGGTGCCAAGACATAGGCATAGATGCCGCTTCCTAGAGGCTGAAGAACATATCCATACAAAGCCTCTGCGCTTGATCCCAGGCAGCGTCCGAAAGCTTTCAGCGCAGATGCAAGAGCACTCGCGAAGGGGACCAGCATGTGCTCATAGGTGCCATGTGCAGCAGCTCCCACACCGTAGCACAATGCCTTCAGGCCAGCCCAAGCGGCTTGTCCTGTGGGCAGCAATATGTATGCATAGAGGCCTTCAGCGCAAACGGTGAGCACTCCGCCCAGATTTTCTGCCATGGCAGCCAGGCCACGCCCAGCAGGTGCCAAAACGTAGGTGTAAGTTGCCTGGGCAGCGGCCTGAATCGCATTCCAGGCTGCCTGAGCGCTGGGTAGAAGGACATTCTTGTATGCAGCTTCTGCGAACCAGCAAGTGGCATTCCATACCGGCATCATCACGCCTCGATAAGTCCACTGGGCCACGTCCACCAAACGCTGTCCCAGCCACTTCAAGCCTGAGCCCAGAGGGCACAACACCCTGTCATACAGAGACTTGAGGCAGGCCATGAACCCATCTCCGAATGCACTTCCTGTGCCAGAAAGAAACTCCCAGACAGCTGCCGCCATTGAAGCCGCAGGCCTTAGGACATAGACATGCGTCAGACAGGCAGCTCTCACGAGCCCTTGGAGCGTCAGCCGTGTAAGCGGACGCAGCACTCCGGCATAAATCCCATAGGGGAGGAAGAATACCACACCAGCGACTGGTGCTGCCACAAGGAGTACTGCCGACTTGGTTACTAGTGTAAGAGGGCTTGTCAAGTCCTCCTGTGAGAAAATGCGGTTCTGGAGTGTTGAATCGGCCATGTCCTCACTCTCGAAGTGCGCGACAGTGGTTGCGAACCAGGGCAGGTAACCGAGCACAGTGGCGCCGGTGAGCAATGCTGGTGCTACGACTGGTGCCAGTGGAGGGGCGACCACAAAGCAAGCTGCGGCTCCAGACGCGAGCAAGGCACCGGTGACCATTAGAGGCCGAATATGGTTGTACATGCCTTCATAGGCCTGCAGCTGTGAAAGCTCCATCCGAGCCTCGGCGGCTAAAACTAGCTCCACATAGTCGTCAATGAAGCGGCCACGTGCATGGTTCTGGATACGCCTCCTGTCAGCATTTGCAGTCTGTTGAGCATACTGCCTACGTCCTACGTGGGTGACACTCACACAAAGAATCAAAAAGTTCTTCAGTGTGTTTCTGCTTGCTCTCCGGCAAATTGGACACTCGCTGGGTCTGCGCTGCATGATGATCTCCAGGCATTCTTCGCACAGCACGGCATGGCGGCAAGGCATGAGAAGCACATTGCGCGGCTGTGTCAGGCATATCACGCATAAGCGTTCTTCGTCCAGGGCTGGATCGCTGGAATTCACCAATCTCCTGCGAATCCACACCGCTGCAGAAGCCGGGCTTGGAAACATCTTCTGCAGCCTTTGCGTGGGCGATGCCACTCGGAGCAAGACCTTCCGCGCCTGAGGCTGCTCATCTAATTCTTTGGCTGCTTGCTCAGGGCTGCGAAGGTAGCTCCATCTCCAGGGGTTGTGACGGGCCAGCTGACTGTAGAGGTCGCCATGCATGTACTGAACCTTTGAAGTCTCATCATGCGCGAGGCAATCTCCAAGGTCACGGAGCCTCGTCGAAGCTTCAGCGGCTTCAGTGCCTGCAGGAGGACACTCGTCCGAAGCGCTCTCGGGTACGAAGTCTTCTGCCACAGTCGGCTGGCTGCAGACGCCAAACCTGCCAAGCTTACTCATTACCGGAGACGTTCAATTTTCAATAAGACAATGACAATGACCACACATCAAAGGGACTCCGACAGGTCCAAGAAACAGGGCGCTCCCCAAGCTGGAGGATCTTGCCCGCTCTTCTTGTCCGGAGCGAATCTCCTGGGAAAAGGCTTCCCGTAGCCACGCACAAGCCGCCGCAACCTTGGTTTTGGCAAGTGCCGCATCGCACATGAAGCTTCCTATGGGCACATGGGTTGCCGCTTTGCAGAACAGAGTGTGGCCCTGTGTTTGGACCTCGACCACTTCCTGGACAGAGGGTCTGAGTCAGATGAGAGCTCGTGACGAAACCGACCTTGAAATCCAAAAGGCTGAAGATCCTGTCGTCTGCACCCCAAACGCGACGTTTTTATTCTGCGATGAATATGGCAAGCAGCATTGCTGCATTGAACGTAAAGGTCGTCCTCCCCATGCGTGATGTACAGTTGCAGGCTTTGCAGGGAATTGAACACCTCCAACTCCTTCACAATTCCTGCTGCCGTGTACTGCTGGCTCCACCACCACGTGCTCGAAGGAACAAGCGACTGACTGGTCGGGTCGGCATCGACCCAGGCGTACCGAAACGTTGCCAGTTGTTCGGTCATGGAAAGTGGGAGAGGCCCTTGCAATGCAATTTGGAGAGGCTGCCGCGCTCAAGCACTTGGGCCAAACGTTGGCTGCATGGGGATCTGTCGTGAAGAAGCCCTGAGGCCCGTAAGTGCGAAACGCGAGAGGTACAAGTATCCGGGCTGGCCAGAATGCATTGGCCCATCAGTCCGGTCCGTCCGGTCAAGCATATTACCTTTTGACGGCGATAGCCTATCAGTCCGGTTTGTCCGGTGAGGCATGTTAAATGCTGGTCCACGTTATACGAAGAATTCCCTAACAGCCTGTCTTGCCGTGGCCTGTTTTGAGGGGGGGGTCCCCCGGCAACTGCAAGATTCACAGCACAGTTCACCAACCTCAGAAGTCCAGGCGAAGCATGGACTATCCGTTTCAAGGGGATTGTGCCGCGAGGATAGCAGCAAAGGCACGCACGGTTTGTGCTTCTGTCTCTGAAGGCAACCCGCCTCAAGATGCTGACAGCTGCAATGCAGAATTCAGACCTAGAAGCCCATTTTCCACGCAGCACCCCGGACTTGTGCGCAACTTACCTTGCGACCTTGCGCCGATGCAGAGCCAAAGCCGCATATGATGGGCGTTGTCTCGATGGGAATTACGAATTTCATGTGAGAGGTACGTTGTCCAAGATCTCTTGCCGTTGGCATGATTCAAAGGCTCCGGTTTCGAAGGCACATGCCGGTCCATGCTGATGGAAATTTTGGTCTGGTTTGATGTAGATAGAGGTACCAATCACGGTTGTTGTCTCACCTTGCTGCCGCAGAGTGGCGTGTGTGCAAAGCTCCCAGTCGGGAACAAAAGCACGACCAACAACTGCAGCTCAAAACAGTTCGCTATCAGCAGCTTTCTTGGGCGCTGCGATGCAGCCTTAGTTGTGGCATTGCCAGCTATGTTCAACACCTCTGGCTGCAGGAGGCATCTTTCTCGGTTGCATATCTGATGTGCCACGAGTTCAAGAAGCTAATCATAAGCCCCATGATGCGCAAGCTTCGTTTACTGTTGCCACTTCTCCGTGCCGGCAAATCAAATCATTGCCGCTGAGTCACGCGACATTGCCAGTCCCAGCTCTATGAGCGATCAAGCTCCTGCCCAAACATTTTCGTCGAATGCCATGTAGACACCGCGTCAGGACCAGCGAATGATAGTTAATGGCTATATAAACTCCACATCACACTGCGTGTTGGCGGCGTCCGGTCGAGTCCTCCGTAGCTTGGCGTACGTCCTGCTGCCAGCTGCTTCTCTGCGGCACCGCCCACCTTCTCCTGCAGCAAACCGAAGCTGGCAAACGCCAAGGCGACACGCAACGACCGCCTCCTCGAGATCTGCCTTCGGATCCAAGGCCTCTTCCGGGCCTGGGAAAAGGACGTGCCAGGGTGCAGCCAGACTGCTGTAGGCCCAGTGACCCAGTGCACAAGCAGAAGCAGACAACGCAACTAGCCACTTCTTGTGTGCATTGGCGATGCAAATGCAAAGTTGCCGTCACCCCAAGATCAAGGCTCGAACAGAATCGGACGTTCTTTCTGCCTGTCCGGTTCATTCTGTCTGTCGAGTGAAATACCGGACATGCCCGAACAACTCAGTCGACTGGGAATGGATCGTGGACTGACTGTCGCCTGCAGTGATGCCACCGACAGCTTCAGCCGCATCTGACGCCTGGCCGCTATGCCATGCACCATTCCAACCCCCAAAAGCAGTCGGCAGTTTCGCCATGCGGACGCGAGGATGAAAGGTGGGGAGATGCACGATACTTTGGGAATGGTGCAGCCCGGATGTGAACGGCTGTTGCGAGCGGCGTGCAGGACACGGATCTCCAAAATCACCCGGAGTACAGGACACACTCCCCGAACCTCATATCTCTATCAACTTCTGTCATCATTGCATATCATACTACATCATACAATGTGCACTTTCTTGAGAAGAGGTTCCAGGCAAGTGAACATGGAAGACAAAGAGATGGGAGCTTGGAAGTCCGTGATGCGTGTGACGGTTCTGAACGGCGGAACGGAGCGATGCCAGATAGAGTCATATCAGGCTACGGCTGAGTCATGCGCACGGTAGAAAAAGAGTCGAGGTCGACTTGTCAGGTGTCCCACTTATGTCGGGCCGGGCCAGAGAAACAAAATGAGAGGGTGAGATTGGAGTCTGTGGACACCCGGCCTGCTCATTGGTCATCGGGAGTGACATGCCGGACCTCAAGACACGAACTGCCGATCGTGTCGCGGCTTGTACAAGGAGGCTGCGGTGGTGTCTGCACTGAGCCAAGCTAAGGTCCTGGGCAGGGGCACAATCGGAGTTGATGAAGACGATGGTGCAGAGGATGTCGCCGAGCGGGTGCTGACGAGGCAACTCCCTCTGTGTCGCGGCTGCGGTTTACAGCCGAAGCTGCTGTGCACTCATGCTCCGATATGTTCAGCACCTACACCCTGTGGCCTGTGAGAGCCTGTGGGCAAAATTAGCCCAGACCTGAGGTCACCAGAACCCGAGCCACAGTTGCAACACCATCCCCTAATAATTGCCAGTCAGAAATTTGTGAGACACACCTCTTGGAAATTACTTTCCCTTCTACAGGCCTCACCGTCCGCATAGCCAGACTGGTGACATCCTTCCCGGGCTTGGTAACCTGCACATCACGTGGCGTCTACTTTGTCGTTGCCCTTGCCTTTCCACTTAGGGTGGTCACATTTCGCAGGCCCACATCTTCGTATTACATCTGCAACCCTTGAACCAGGAATTGTGAACACCTGGGAAGCTGCTTTCGTGCCAGGAAGGAGGCTCATCTGAAGGTTGCATTGCGACTCCCTGCGACTATGCGTGAGATTCGAGCCCATCATGGAGATGTATCATGCCTGCCAGTTGAAGGGAGCCAGCGGTGCGCGCTTCACCTCCCATCACTGCACAGGCATACGCAGGCTGCTAAGATTGACACTGAACAGCACTCGGCCGGGAACGGAAACCATGCGCAGGCCAAACCGCTGCTTACTTCTCGCCTCTGAGGCCGCAGAGCGTAGGGAAGAGCCCAGCAGTGGCGAGGTGGTGCGGGACTGCGGCACCGCGCTGTGGCGCTTGGCCTGCAAGTGGGGTCCATTTCTCGGTCAAGACTCTGTCAACGGTGTCCCTTCTGAGTGCCAAGGACATGCCAGGGTTTCCTCCGTCATGCCCCGTGCAATCCAAACCTGGTGCAGACGAACTTCTCTTGCAGCGATCTCCAAAAAGAACTTGTATCCCCATGGGCATCAGAATCACCTTCAAACTGGCATCCTGAAACCGCCAAAGGCATCTTCCATGAGCGGCTCAGGGCTGGACTGGAGACATCGAGCGGCCTGGAAGAAGGGAAGCGCAGGATTCGCAACAGGATGCCGAGCATCAACGTGGGCCCCGGGCCGCTTGCAGTGCTGCAGACCAGGCTGCTCCCCAGAACCGTGGTGCGAGTAGATGCCTCCTGAGCCATGGAGCTTCGTGAAAGTCATTTGCCATCTGATTTTGCAGAAGGGACGGAGCTGGTGGGTGGGGGACTGAGGCCGCGTCAAGAGAGCCGTGACACACCCGAGTGACGGAAGCGTTGCTGACCTCGGCATTGAACAGACGGCTCCACTGTGCACAGTGAACTGCTCAAAACACCTAACTTGCCGCCGCCCTCCAGCACCAACACTGTGCACATGTTCACCGGCACACCGACACACTTTTGCTCAGTAAGGTGAGGCGGGGCAGACGTGCTTCATCTCCACGTGAGCACAAAAACGACTGCACGGTGACGACACCGCAACAGCCGCAACACTGCATGTCCATGCAACAGAGAGCTCCTGTGGCCCCGGAAGCCGAGCCAAGAGTGTGCCTCATGTATACATATATATATATATGCCTAGGGACCTTAATAATCAATATGACGAGGAACCACCAAAATAGTATTGGTAATCATTTAGGCCCCTTTAGTACACGATGTCATATGCCATGATGGCAGATTGGCGAACCTCGGAGAGGCGGCTTCCTTGATGGAGTCTGACACAATGGTGGACTGCAGAGTTACTGCAATCCTGGCAAATCTGCAGCACTCTGAGGCATAGCGATGAAGAAACCTGCATGTCATCAAGGTCACCTTCCAGATTGCTGCAGAAATGCCCAAGATCCACTAACGTTCGGACGGCGCAATGCATTTCTAACTGATTGGCTTGATGGTCGAACCCTTGGCAATAGTGCCCCAGCCAATGAGACGCCAGTGCTTGTCAATCCTGGAGCATACACATTGGTGAATTGCCATGTGTCACGGTCGCGGAGCGGACTATGCTTGCAGGCAGCGCATGAATGCATACAAGCATACATGTTTTCGTGGCTCTACTGAGTAGCTCTGAGGTACTCAAGGCCCTCTGCAATCTGCAACCTACCAGCAGTTCCGACATTTGTGAGAGCGCAGGTGAAATTCACAAGCCAGCTCGAAACTTATGACCAACCGTGACTGTCCTGCGGCTCAGGGCAACCTTGTCGCCCTCCTGTGTGCACACCTCGCTTTCAGGTCTTCAACTCCTTCTTAATGTCTGAACTCTGCGAGTTACTAGTAGCCGCGCACGCCGTCGTTGCATGCACTGTATAGTTCTTTCTGTGAGGGAAGACGGGGCACACTCAGTTCCGAATTTGCAATGTAACTTCTGTCTACCATCTTCGTTTCTTGACTGCGGCCAGCGATAGACTCCATAGATACTTTGTGGGCAAGCTGCAGGATGTGTCAGGGTGATTCTGGCGTAGTCATTGTCATCCTTGATGCCCAGTACCTGGCTGCTGCAGTGTTCCGGCAGCTATGGTGTGACGTTCTGATAATTACAGTTGGCAGGCATGCGGTGGCAACTCCATTCAAACAGCGCCGGTGCACTCTTCCGCCTGCTGCCGTAGATCCAATGTTCACCTAAGCAGCAGATGCTTTATGCTATATGGGATGGCCTTGCTCGGGTTGCACAGAGAAGGATCCCAAAAGGTGTCTGCGATTCATGCTCAATCCAGTCCGACGTCTCTCTCAAGCCGGGCGGCCATGAGGATCTCGCCCTTTTTGAGCTTGGCCACCTTCCCAGCCTCCAGGAACTGCACTCTGCAACGATTCGCGCAAGCCGCGGTCAGCGCTAGGCGCGCTTGCGCTGTCACCAGTAGCTTTGAGGATACGGATTCCGAATGCAAGCAAAGGTATGCCTCCCTGCGGTGAGCAACCAATTAATTCAAGTTCAAGAGTGATCCTGAAGGTCTCACTGCTGTTGTGCCTTGCCATCGCCATCCGTCTTGACTCCTAGCAGTCGTCGCAAGAGATAGAACTTGACCTTGAGACCGCGAGAGGCTTCAGGATCAGCTTGAAAGCTTTGAACAGCGAACTACACGCACTGGCACAAGGAATGGAGCTAGGGGGAACAAACGGATGAACACTTGCTGCCGCGGCCTCAATCTCAATGTAGATGCCTGGGCTCTCGTCGATTGGAACTCTCATGTCCGCGCAACGTCAGAATCCGCTAACAGCCGCTAGCGAGAACAGACTCGGCCATGCTGGTCTATTCCGCACATGCTGACAGAGTCGATGTGCAACCACACACATGCGGCAGTAGCTGGGATTAGTATTTGCTCGCATCTGTCTTGTCGTCTATGGTCTGTAGCCCGGCGGCTTGGAAGTTTGCCTGGATGTCCGAGCACATGCCCCACAAGCTTGTCTGCACCTGGGACGGCTGCAGCATACTAACTGTGAGGCTTGCCTGGTCGAGCGGGAATCTTCTTCGGTCAGATGGTTCGACTCGCTGTCGCCGTCGTCTGCGCGAGAAGTCCGGACTGTTCGGTGACCCAGGTTGCTTCCGTATAGATCCGGAGCCCGAAACCCCATCTGCCGAACCGGGCACGGGTCAGCTTTGGGTCGATCTTGGTGCCGACTCCAATGAGGCCTCCCGGCACTGCGAACTGGAGCGCGTTCTGCTCGGCAAGCAGGGACATAATCCCTTGGATGCGGGTGCCGGGGTGCAACATCAATCCAACACATCCACGAACATGCGGCAAGAGAGAGGGGAGCGAGGAAGACTGAAAGCTATCGCCGATAGGCGTGGCACTGCATCAATCAGGGTAGCTATCAGTTACAGCAAAAGAGGGACATCAAGCTATGCAGAAAGTCCGGATGTCCCAGCAAGCAACAAAGTGATCTGCACTCGCTAACTCATCGTCACAGTCTCAGACGCACAGACACATAGACAGGCGGACAGACACACACCCATATTGCGCCCCTCCCCTACCGACAATACCACACCCACCCACCCACAGACGGACGGACGCACAGACGGACAGAGCTCCTACCCAAACATGAACTTGTCGACATTCGTCGACACCAAGAGGCGCGAGCGGATCGGACGGCACTGGACGCTGTCCGAGCTTGGGTCTTTGGTGACGATGCCAGGCCTAATCTCCTTAGATGTCCGAGTCGAGTCTTGCATCTGTGAAGCTCGGGCCGGGGAGTTCGGTACCGATGTAGTAGAAAACAAGCAAGCTGCGATTTCATCTCCCATTTTCAGGACCTCAGATGTGACCAGGTCTGGATGCCTCTCAACGGCAATCGCAACTGGTAAGGTAGAGCCTTTCTCACGGCAAACCTCGACCGAGAAGCCCCCTTCAGGATGGAGCCGCCGGCGACACCTCCCTTCAGGTTGGCCACCTCCTCACCTGGCCTGTGCACAGGGGTTTCAGGCATCCAGGCTCGTGAGCAGAGGCCCTGTGCACTGGCACAGCCATTGATCACCCATCGCTATTTCCGGCTGTTTCCAAATGCAGTCAGCGACGGTTGAGTGATGCAAACAGACTGCAGAGCCTTGCATGCCCACTGAAAGCCTCCGTACAGCATATGGCAACTCGCAGAGATGTGGATTCGATGTCCCGGCCTGTTGACGTCGAAGGATCGGATGATAATCATAACCGGCATCGACGTAAAGTCTCGAGGTGGAATCGGCACTTGCGTGCACAAGTATTCACCTTGGTTTCGGATGACAGCTGCGAGCATAGTTTTAAAGTGCAGGCGTCATATCGGGGGGTTCTTCCCCAAGCCGGGTCAGACCCTTTCGGAACGAAGCCCTAGCTCGAAGGCCTCAGCAAACTTCGTTGCCGCACAACTATGGAATTGCAAGGCTTTCAGGAAACCAACGTTGTACACAGCCGTGGCTTTGGTGCAAGACACAAATCACATCCAGGTTGTACTTCAAGACGGCACCTGGGCGCCGACTGCATGCACAACGAAAAGGTCTCGTGCGACATGCCTCTGAAGGCAGAACAAGCCAAGGGATCAAGCAAGGTGGCAATCTGAAAGTCTGCCCAAGAGGCTGATGGGAATGATTGGCGAGCTGTCCTCAGGTGGAGACGTGCAGAATGTCCAGGTCTCACAGAACACACGAACACACTGCGACCGCCGACATAGATCCTAAGCTCGCTGGCCGAGAAGCTGCTGCCGTTCCCGCCACAAACTTCTTGATCTCTTCGTACCTGGATTCGGCCTCCTGCTGCTTGGTCAGCTCGACCTGGATGTATATAGGGGCCTTAATAATTAGAATACTACAATTATGAGAAGGAACCCCCAATAGGATTGGTTACTATTTAGGCGCCCTAAAGAAAATGAAAGCTGGAAAACACGGACCTTTGGAGGCTTCCAGAGGTTGTCTGATCGGACATTAGTGGTATGCCGCTTGCAGATCCGTGCAACATACAATCCCTGCGGTGCAGACCCACAGAGTGCTCCACACATCTGTGCCTTGTTCTGAAGGATGATGATGTGCTTCAGCCGCATGATTTCCTTGCGAAGACATACATCGTAAAGCTAGATCTTAATCTTGGTGCCTGGTGCTGGCCACGGACACCTGCGACATACTCATTGCTTCCACCAACCAGCTCGTGACCGACAATTATATCGCCGATTCAGGGCACCGCTGCCAAAGCATACAAGCGCAATATCTGCCAAGCGAGAGTCCACTGCTGCAAGATGTTCGGAAGTCTGGGGCTGTGGGCACGTCTCGTTTCCTGCCGCAGGATACAAGCATGTCTGATAAGAGTGGACTCGAACTCCAGGCTTCTCTCTCTCTCTCTCTTTCTTTCGCCAGGGTTATGATGTAGAGGTCTCTCTCTCTCTCTCTTCTTCTGCTTCTTCTTCAGCAGGGCATAAGGGGCGGGTTAGACCCCCCGGCCTCATGCTTTGCTTTGCTTTGCTAGGGGCTTGGGGCGGGAGCAGTCCCCCCGGCCTCTCTCTCTCTCTCTCTTTCTTTCTTTCTTTCTGCAGGGCGTAAGGGTCGCACAAGCGCCCCCCAGGCTTTCAGCCCGCCCAGCCACACTCTGTGTTTATGGAGTGGCTGGTAAAGGGGTCTTTCCAGATTAAGGCAGGGAACTACGAAATATGCTCCAGGTTTTCATGCAGCGATCCCCACCTAGAACACTAATAACACCCCGCATCCCGGCCTCATCACCGGGCCCCTATGGCTGACCAGTCAAGTACCTAGGTCCTTCTAAGCGGGTTTCGCTGCATTGTGTTTGGAGCAGAAAAGCCGGATGAATTGGATCCCCCCCATGCTCTCACACAGCTA